GTTTCAAAGCTAGCTAGAACTAGTTCAATCTAAGTTGACGTTTTATGAGTGTTGCAGTTTAACTAGTATGTCATATGTGAGCTTGATGTTGTACAAATATTCTTTCTTCTGATATAATTTGAACGTGTCTGCTTTCTTCTCACTAATAGATTAGAATGGGACCAAATAAAAAGAAGTGGAGATAAGACCTCCCATAAAGTTAAATATTACACCATTAAAGAGGTGGTCTAGTCACTTCTTTTGTATCTTGTGCAAAATGCTAAATCAATAATTAAGGTATAATGCTCTAAGTAGTTGATGATGTCAGGCCTTAGAACTTATAGTATCTCACTTCTGGTATGAGTCAGACAGTATTCAGTAATCACGATCCATGGATTAAGGATGCACTAAATGGATATTAATTATTAGATCATCGGATTGAAGATTGTTAACCGATCCAAAGGTTGATATCACCTGAAAATAATGTCGTTGTTGGGTAATAAAACATTTTAGGAAAACATTTAAGGAAATAAGAAAGATAACCCTTGAAATTGCCTCTCTTCAGATTTGAGAAATTCTGGTTAACCTTCCCATCCTTCTCTCCTTTCATCAAATTATGCTGGAATTCATTCTATTCTATAGAGGATCCCTCCAGAAATCTCCCTCTCAAATTGAAACTCATCAAGAAGAGAATCAAATGGTGGTCCAGGCACAATCTTGCCTCCTTCAAACAGCTCTATTCTAGAGCTATGGATCAACTCAATTTTCTCAACTCCATTGAAGAATCTAGAAGTCTCTCTCCACCAGAATCTCAGCTTAGAGTCAATCTGCATGACCAGCTTCTCCTTCTTGCTAAGGCTGAAGAGATCAAGTGGAAACAGAGATCTAGAATCCAATGACTTAAAGAAGGAGATAATAATTCTGCTTTCTTCCACAAAGCTTCTTCTTTTCGCCGTAGAAAAAATTTCATCCCTCATCTTATGGTTGATAACGTCCTTATCTCCGTAGAGTCCGACATATAACAATATTTTTTTGATTTCTTTTCCAAGCTCTTTCATAAACCTCCTGATTCTAACATGCTGCTGGACTGGGATCTCTTTTACCCTCATAGCAACATAGATCTTTCTTCACTTGATCATCCTTTTTCCCAAGAGGAAATCTTTGCAGCAGCGTTTGACCTTCACCCAAACAAGGCTCCTGGGCCCGATGGGCTTCTCATTCTCTTCTTCCAGAGATTTTGGAGCACTATCCAAACATATGTCATCTCCTTTATTCAAGCTCTCCACTCCAACCCTCAATCCCTTCACAACATCAACTATTCTCACATTTGCCTCATCCCTAAAAAGGATGGTGCCAGCAGCCCCAAAGACTTCTGGCCCATCAGCCTCATCAACAACTTATGTAAAATATTTTCTAAAGTTCTGGCTAATAGACTGAAAACATTCTTGCATCTGCTGGTGGATAACTCTCAATCAGCTTTTCAGTTAGGTAAATCCACGTTGGACTCTATTCTCCTCGCTCATGAGGTGATAAACTTATGTTCCTCTGGTAAGAAAGAGATTTATGCAATTAAAGTTGATTTTTTCAAGGCTTTTGACTGTGCCAATTGGAATTTCCTCATCTCTCTCCTTCAAGCCAGAGGCTTCGGCCCTCAATGGTGCCTCTGGATCCATCATATCATTCATTCATCTAAATCTGCTGTTTTAGTTAACGGGACCCCTTCTAACTTCTTTAGTTATTTTAGGGGTCTCAAACAAGGTGATCCCCTATCCCCTATGTTATTTTTTATTGTAGTTGACATTTTAAACAAGATGTTGATTACTAGTGCAACTTCGGTGGACTTATCTGATCTTCAGCTGAAGGGCAAGCTTAATTCCATTAGAGCTCTCCAATTCGCAGATGATACCATCATTTTCAGTAGGGCTTCTCCCACTGATATGACCATTCTCAAAACTATTCTGTTTCTCTTCGCCAATATCTCTGTTCTACACGTTAATCCTCAAAAAACTAATCTATTTTACCTTGGTAAAATTCCCCATAAAAGCTCTCAATTAGCTTCCATCCTTAACTGCTCTGTTGGCTCACTCCCTTTCACTTACCTTGGTCTACCTCTCAAAAGAGGTAGCTTCCATCCTTAACTGCTCTGTTGGCTCACTCCCTTTCACTTACCTTGGTCTACCTCTCAAAAGAGGTTCTTTGACCAGAAGGGAGTGGCATTGGCTCACTCCCTTTCACTTACCTTGGTCTACCTCTCAAAAGAGGTTCTTTGACCAGAAGGGAGTGGCATCCCCTCCTGGATTCTTTCATGAAAAAACTATCTCTGGAAGAATAAATCCCTCTCAATTGATGGCAAACTCACTCTTCTAAATTCAGTTCTCTCTTCTATCTCTCTCTACTACATGTCCTTCTTCAAGATGCCTACATGGTTCATCAAGGCTATTGATAAAATCAGGAGGAACTTTCTTTGGAACGGAAACCACATCCAGTTTAAATCTAAATGCCTGGTCAATTGGGTAACTGTCTGCAGGTCCAAGCAAGAGGGAGGGCTGGGGGTAATTGATATTTCTTCTTTTAATCTTGTCCTTCTCTCCAAGTGGTTTTGAAAAGCTTTCGACAGAAACTCTCTCATTAGTAAAGTTATTTTCTCTCTTTACTCCAAAAACAATTCTAACCCTTTCGTGCATCCCCAAAAAACTCTGCATCGAGATTCATCCTTGATTTGCATTTTATTCATTCCTCTTTTTTTAGCATGGTTAAATGGTAGGTAGGCGATGGTAAAACTTGCAATTTCTGGTTTGATAAATTGACTAATGATAACTCACTTAGTAGTCTTTTTCCAAAAGCATGCCATCTTGCATTCTCATCTTACAGCTTTGTTCAGCCCCAAGGATATATGCTCCAATCTACCTAGTATTGGCACCCCATTCTCAGAATGGGTATTATCTATGAAGATAAAAGGGACATTGACAAGCTCTTAACCCACCTGGAAGGGTTCTCAGTTGCTTCTAATGTTAATACTGACAGTATTTGCTGGCCTTATCATCCTACTGGCTCATTTATAGTTAAACCTTTATACAGCATCATCACCTCTGGTGGGGTTAAGTCTCATATTCACAACTTCATATGGAAAAATCTCACATCCCTCTGAAGGTCAAGGTCTTGTTCTGGATCATTTCTAAATAAAAACTCAACACCAGAGCAAATTTGATCTCCAAAGGATGGTCAGGAGATACCCATTGCCCTCACTGCAACCAGGAGGTCGAGACTCAAGATCATCTATTTATCCTCTGCCCTTTTGCTAATGAAGTCTGGTCTACCCTCCTTCCTCTCGCTCCTTTTGCTAGGTGGCCCCAATCAATGGAGGAGCTGACTCTCTTATACATGGATTCAAATACTTGTGCTGATATTAAAATTATTTGGAAATATCTGTTATCGTGCTTCTGCTGGTGGATGTGGAACTATAGAAACTATCTCATATTTAGATATTTCCCTGCAAATCCTATTCATATCGCTGCTAACATTGCTAGGTATGTCATTTTTTGGACAGATGCCGAAGAAGATAGATTGGCGAGGCGTATTCGTAGGGCTGCCCAAAATCCGAAAATGCAAGAAATAGCTAAGAAGAACACTGCTGTCGCTTATGGAGATAATCTCTCTGATGTCAGTTGATGCGACCAGTTTTTCTCTCTGTCCTGGCTTTTCTCGATTTTTTGCTGTAGAATATGGTGTTGTCGATTTTCAGTGTTGGTGTCTGCATGTATCAGACTATATATTATCTCGTGTGTTTTTTCTTTTGGCCTTGAGTGAGGACATTATTTGAGTTAGCTCGGTAGGTGATGACTAGGTCCGCTCCTTACCAGCTTTCTTCTCTTCTTTGTTCTTCCCTCTCGGTTTTTTTGTTTTGTTTTGTTTTGTTTTTGTATCAGACTTCTTTCTAGTATCCTTATATAATATCTTTTATGAACAGGGTACCTCACCTAGTTTCTCAGTTCAAAAAAAAAAAACCCTTGAAAAAAATCCACCAAAACAACCGTTGCTTATGGAAATGGGTGAGATATTCACACAAGTCATGCCTAAAATGAAACCAAGTAAGATGCAGCATGAGAAGTGGCTCAAACCACCAACACATGGCAGATATAGCAAGTAGAGTATGAGAACTTCACGCATAGCATCATGCCTGTAACGGGAATAAAGCATGAACCTTGCCTCACTCGCTTTGACACCTAACCCACTCTTATCTGAGTTATCTCACACTAAACAAGCTCATTCTCTCCCAATTAGGGATTAGGGAAAATTAATTAATTAATCAACCCTAGCCGCATGTAGACGTCAGCACATATATATACTTAAGTCACAAAGCTAGATTGCCATATCGGAAAATAAACGGTTGTGATTTGAAAGAATCAGACGACTTTATCTATCGTCTTGCATTTGTCACGCCCAGAAAAACATGGGGAAAAAAAAAGATACCTTAGAGAGTTTTTCTCTGTGAAAAGACTTATGTGACGCGATACGAAACTTAATACTTACATCACTATCAACTAGCAGGGCATGCTATATTAATAGAAATTACATCAAAACTTACTGCACTAATAAATGGCAATGGTTTGTGCGTTAAGATTCGTGCCAGACCGACCAAGCATCTGTAAAGAGCCCTCCACAGATTTTTGTTACCATGTTTCTGTTTTCAGAAAAGCTCACAATTTACTTGTACAAACAGGTACGGCGGATGTATGAACACGTCTCCAGTGACGAATAACAGCTAATTACTTACATTATCCCTCTCTGCTTACTCTACTTCCGTTGAGCAAAAGATGTAGAAAGTTCCAATTCTGGAAACATTCACTACACTTCACAGCACGTCATCAATATCTAACGCTGACGTGTCACGCATCCAGCCTTTGTTTTACTATAAATACCCTGTGCGAACTTCCTCAGTTCTCTCATTCATTTCTCTTCTGATTAACTTCTTGATTTCCACCAACATGAAGAGGTTTGGAGAGAACATGGACAGCGCCAACATGGCGGGCGTGCTCATGCTGCTATCCCGAGACGGGGCCCACTACGAAGGCAGGGAAATGGGCCTGGGCCTTTCGGGCCGCTCGCAGCCGGGCCGAGTGTTTGAATGCAAGACCTGCATCGGAGGCCACCGGGCCAGCCACAAGAAGCCCAGGATGAGCGATAGTGGGCCGGGCCAGGGAAAGCCCAGGGTGCACGAGTGCTCGGTCTGTGGGCTTGAGTTCGCCATCGGGCAGGCCTTAGGAGGCCACATGAGGAGGCACAGGGCCGACGGAGGCGTGCACGTGCACGAGCAAGTGCAAGTGCACGGGCGTGGGGAGAAGAAGAGGGTGTGGCTGGACTTGAACTTGCCGGCGCCGGAGAATGAGATGGAATGTAGGAAGAATATGGGGTTTGGGATTGAGATCGGGGAGAAGATTCCAATGGTGGATTGCTTCCATTGATCATCTCATAGCTCTGTTGTTTCACAAATTTTAAACTTTTTTTATTACAATTTTTTCTTTGTTTTGTAGCATGAGATATATGTCATACTCTTATGTATTTTTTTCCCTCTCCCACTTTGGTCTTTTGGTATTTGAAGAGACTACAATTTCTTACAATAACGGGCTATAATATAATATTATTTGATGTAACACATGATGTGCTGCTACTTTGTTATTGAGGTTATTATTACTATGGAAGTATAGTCTTATAATAAAAATGGAGTTTCACTAATTTCTTTTTCAGGAAACACGAGGGATTTATACCTAGTAAAGTAAGTTCTTTTCTATTAGAAAAAAGCTGGCCATATACAATTGAACAGTATTGAGAAGATGTATCGCATTGGCATTATGACAGTGAAAAGAATAAAAGTTCAGATGAAATATCAGTAGAGTATAGAATCCCAATTCAGTATTTTATTTATTTATTTATTTTTATTTTTTTGGGGAAAAATTAATGTGGTTACCAGAAAAATGCCGTGGACATTAATGTTACATGATTCTTGCCGTCCAAAATTATTATGAAAGGAGGAAAACGACACAAATCATTTGTTTATAAGTTGGACAAGAGGTAGCATACAGAAATAAAAGTCACTTTTAGCTCAATCAAACCACTGGATTACAATTATAATTAAGATCTTATATATTTAGTTTCATAATTAACAAAGTTCCAGAACATATAGCTAGACAACCAATATTATGGTCCTAATTAAACATGATCAAGTGGGTAAAAGGGTTCCAATACTTTATGATTACCCTAATTAATTAAAGTCTAGTTAGCAATATTTTATGAATAGATATGTTAGCTTATGCCAAAAAGTTGCCTACGGCTGAAACAAATAAGAGTTTCTTAGTAGAATATAAAAAGGTTATTCTATCACTACCAAATATACGGTGGGCACAAAAGAGAGTCATATCTCCAAGTGTGATCATTCATGTTGGCAATGAAACCTAAATACGTGTTTATTTTGATAATATCTGTTGGAATAATCAGCATTAATTTCTTACTTACAACCAAGCGCATTGTTAACCGGTTTAGTAATAGCAGAAGTACTAAGTAAAGCAATTTTCATTGCTCAAAATTAATTCATTTTTTCATGTAAAAAAGACTAATCCAACTATTTCACCAAGTATATATATATATAGCAGTTCATTTATTTCATCTTTCCATTTGCACTTGAATGAAAACTGATAGATTTCTAAATTTTGGTGTACATATAAATGGCAAATAGAGGTGTTCAGAGATAGAATTTCTAAAGAGTTAAGTACTCTCTTCTTTTTCTTCATCTTTTTTTTCCATAAGAATTCAATATATTTATGAGTTTTTTTGAGCGAGGTTAAAGAGTATTCATGTGTTACAATCTTCTCTTTAATTAATTAGTAAATTTATCTTATTGTCTTTGTAGACATAAATCAAAATATATTGGTTGAACCAAATTATACACTTAATTATTAATGCAATTAATTACTCTATTTCATGGTAACATCTCACATGTTAAAAAAATGGGGTGTAGTAAATAAATCTTCTTGCGGAAGATTTGAACATAGCCAAGTGGACAAATACAAATTAATTAGATGTCTATCTATCTTATACCAGTAAAATTTGCTCTTCCACTTTTTAACAGAAGAATGATAAGGAAATTTAAGAAGAATAAAAACGTCATCCTCTAATTTCTCAAAATAAAATAAAATAAAATAAAAAGTCCAGACAGGGACAATAAAAAGGAAAAAAGAAGGACAAGAGTCGGTTGATGCTGTTATCAGATAACACTATCCAGTATCTATATCATTTCACTTCACATCCAATTAACAATTATAAAGTCAAGCAAAAGAGTAAGTTAACCCAATGAGCATCATACTGGAGTAATTCTACTTTGGTGAAAGATCAACAGTACTTGTGATTGACATACAATAAAGAATCAAACAAGCAACATGCACCAATTAATACATCAATATTGAAGCTTGGCATGTATTTCACCCCAACATAGAAATTAAATCTTATGAGATATGGCCTTTACAGGAAACACATGATGCCCCTGAAATTGAATTATGACAGG